CCTGTTAGAAACTGGAGAGTCGCCCTTTGTCCCCCCCGCCATGCCCTGTGTCCCATTAGTCCCCAAGCCCCGCCAGGACCACCTTCCAGCGCGGCTGAAACCCACCCCTCCTCTCTCCCGAGACCGTGCCTAAACCTTCCTAAGAGCAGCCACTCAAATAACCTCTTGAGAATGAATTTAACTTTCTGATGCATACATGCACAGGGGACACATTCACAGTATCCAGAAAAGAATGAGAATGCACTCCCTCCATCCCTGTCCCAGGGGGACCCCTTCCAGACACATTCGATGAACACACTTTTCTGTCTTTATATGTGGAGAGAGATCTTGCATATGCCCTTTTTCTCTTGAAACATAAATGACCGTTCACTGCAACTCACTGCTGATCAACTTTTCTTTTTCACTTAGAAATACATCTAAGAGAACTGTTCTATTTCGAGGCCTGCTAGGCTGCCGTGCCCTTCCAACCACCACGTGGGGCTGCTCTGTGGGACGAACGTGACTTAAGCAGGCTCTGGATGAACATCTAGGTCACCTCCGATGTTCTGCTAGTGACAACAGCTCATCATGTGTTTCCTACTCCTACTTTTCACCCTCCACAAAGACACTAGAAAAATGGTTCTCAAACTTGCTATAAGCAAAGTCTATGAAGATGAACATCAGATTTTATAGATGTCTCCCTCACTTGGCTTCCTTAATACAAAAAATCAGGGAATAAGGCAAAGACCGTTGAGCAAACTGCTAATACTCTAATGTAAAAATCACTGTGAGCTTGGTATCGAGTTTGTTCCTTTACTGATGAAGTGTCTTTAAAAAAAAATAGGTGGATATAGTCGAACCCATTAAAGCAGTAAATTGGATATCCTTGTTATTGCTCTATTCCTTATTCTGCGTGTGTGACAAGCTATTTAAAGAGGCACTGGGGCACTTATCGTGAAGGGTAAAATGCATGAAGGCATAGATCAGAATTAAGATTTGATTTCCTCTCTTATTATAGTAAGCTACTGAATAACCCAGAAAAAAAGCTGGATATTCTTCTCAGGTACTATTCTAAAAAGGGAAAGAGGGGAAAGAAACCCAATGAACTGTTTTTAAAAATTTTATGCTAAATCAGATAATCCTTTTACACTAGCTTTACAAACACATGCGTGCGCACGCACAAGCACACGCACACACACACACACACACAGCGGTGAGTTTGGGGGAGAAAATGTTAATGGGAAAAAAATCTATCTTCTGCCCACCTCCCTCAGTCCTGTACCCCCTGCCCAACTGATCTACTTTAGCAATGAATATACGGGTGCAGTTTTTTTCTGGAGCAGTTGGTGAGGCACCAAATAGACCTAAAATATGGAGCCAATCAGGTTTCCCCTTTAGCTGCCCCCGAACAAGACCAAGTCCAAGGCCTCACAGGGCGCCGGTGCCTTTTGTGATGAGGCTCGCCCCCCCGCCCCCCAGTCCCCGACGCTGCGGGCACATTTTACCCGGGCAGCCCCAGGACCTACACCCCTGTGCAAACGAGCTTCTGAAACGCGCTTTTGCTCAACGCTGATGCAGTTCTTTCCTCCCTCCCGGCTGTCGTCCCTCGAACGCCCCCGTCCTGGGTGCCACCCCCAGGCCCCCGGCTCCCACGGGGCGGGTGAGGCAGCGCTCTTCACCCACTGTTTTAACTCTGGGTTTACATGGAGCTTCCTGAGGGCAGGTGCTACGGGTCTTCTGCATGGCCCCAGTTCTGGCAGAGCCTGCCAGCCTAGCGGGTACAAGATTGTTATTCAATAAATGTGGCTTCACGGCCTGACTCGCGGCTACCCTGCCAACCCCTTCCCTTCACCTCGACTGTAGCAAACTGGCCCAACTGTGGAAGCCACCACGGTAACTGAGCTCTCCTACAACAGAGGGCCCTCGGGAGTGCAAACCCAGACAGCGCTTTGCAGCCCCGGGGCACACGGTGCACGAAGGGCACGCGGTCAGCGCCCACAACATTCCTCCCTGACGCGGGCGGAAGACAGGTGCGGGGAAGCGGCTGGCGGAGGGCGACAGAGACCCTCGGTGTCTTATCTTTCTGCCGGGGAACCGTACCGTGTGCTCTCAGACGCTTCATCCGGATCGAGTTCCTCTCTGTAGAGGATGATTTAAAAAGCAAAAAACAAACATAGAAGCTTTTCTAAAGTTACTTCTTTACGCAACTACTGGGGAAGAAAAAGACTCTGAGGTCCCTCTTCAGATGTGACTTGTGTGTTCAGAGTTTTGGGGCAGCCGCCATGCAGCCAGTTCATCACGAAGATGAACTGGTGTCAGCTGTGATTTCAGAGCTTCTGCTGGCCTGGTACTTGACAGCTGCAAACATTCCCCATCTCCAAAGGCGCCGGCCTAGGTAACCTTGGCAACGAGTGACGTCTGGGGGACGAAAGGTCAGAGGAACTGCACACAAGCACTGCTCTCTCGTTTTAAAAAGGTGTTTCCCACAGGAGCACTGGGGTAAGCACCCTGACGCTGTTGTGTGTGCCCTGCAACGAATCCATTAACTAAATGTGCGGCAGGCCGGGAGCCGGGTGTCTCGCCATCGGGGGCGGTTTGCAGATAAGCCGGGCGGGGAGGGTGGGACGGCCCACGGGCTCACAGATGGCGGGCAACACGGAGAAATCGGCGGCACTCACGCGTCGCTGAATGCAGGTGCAGGCGTCGCCGACAGCAGTACACACAGAGACACAGACACGCACAGCCGGCACAAACCCACACTCCTGCTTGCTGGCTGAGAGGGCCGTTGAGAAACGGCCCTCCAGGTGCAACAAGCGTATCTGGGGTCCAGACCCTGGGACCTAATTCCATCTCCAGTGAAAGGACAGGGCAACACGGAGACACGACTGATTCTAGGGATGGGGCAGGACATACACGAGGCACGTCTGGAGCATCCTGTAGTGCCAGAAAGCGAGGAAGCGCCACACACACACACACACACACACACACACACACACACACAGAGTGAGAGAGGTTAAAGAAACAGTGGAGCCAATGGTAAGTGCTCCACGGCTTCCATGGCCAAAGCTGGAGCCACGTGAGCGACAAAATAAAGCAGTACTGGGCTGACCTGAAGTGTAAAGTAAGCATTCTGAGTCCATATTGATATGAACGGCTGACTGACTGGACGGATGAGGACGGAGGGCAGGCTGCCACGCAGAAGAGCTCCAAGTAGCTGACGCAGGGCCCTGCCCGCAGCAGACGGGGAGAGGCCAGACAGACACCGTGCCAGTCAGGTGACCAAGGCCACCATCAGTGGTCATAACTTACGCTGACAGCACATACCCTTGGTCGGGGGCAACAAAAGTGTCACCGAACCTCTGTGACCTCTCTTCCAAAACCCGGTCCACTCACGTGCAAAGCATCAAACAAATTCCAACAGCCGGCATTCTACGCAGCACCTGGCTGCTACTTCTGGAGACTGTCAAGGTCGTCACAAAACACAGCAAGTCTGAGGAACTGCCAGAGCCGAGCAGAGGCAAACAGACGTGACAACTGACCGCCCCGTCTTACAGACTAAGATGTTAACGACAGGGGGCTACACTGGAGCTCCCCACTACCGTCTCGATTGCTCTGCAAATCTACAACTGTTCTGAAAAACAAATCTATTGAAGATATTTTGCCCATCTCTCAACTCTGCAGACAGGAAGTTACAAATTACAGAAAACAGGAATAAACCGTGTCTGTAATTTCTCTCCATCTTCCACTGCGAATTCAGCTCAAACAGTCGGAGTCGCTGCTCTGCTCCAGGATGAGGACCCCGGTCCACACAGTGCGGGCGACATGAGGAACCAGCCACGGCGGGCGCACGAGCGGCCTTTGGTGGAGGGCGACCCTCCCAGGGCTGACCTGGGGGTTTCGGAGCAGCTCCCGGGACGGAAGGGGAGCAGAAGGCCCCTGGGGTCCCTGTGCAGCCAGCCCCGCATCTGCCCGGACTCCCAACAGGAGGGCGGGAGCCTCGAAGGAGAGACGGCGGGTTCAGGGGCCGAGCTGCCGACAAAGCCAAAGCTCACATTTGCATCAGGTTCACCTCTGCCCCCTCCTCCCGAGAAAGCGTTCAGATCCGGCTGCTACTGACCTTTCACTTCAATGCAAACGCGGCCCTCAACTGTCCTGCTTCTCAAAGGGCAAGGGACACTCTGTCTTAGGAGCAATTTAGAGTTGGAATGAACAGGCTGGGACCAGGGACCCTCTGCTGCAGGGCTTGCACCTGGACACACCTCTGCTCCACCCACAGATACAAAGAAACTATAAGGGACTAAAAATAACTGGGGGCATGCGCAGTTGGGGCACATTATGGACAAAAGATACAAAGAGACCAAAAAACCCAACTGCCATTTCTGAAGAGGCTGGAGCAGAAACAGGGGTTCAGGAGCAAAAGCAGAGCACTGCACACGCCGCCTGCACTCAGCACCACCTAAGCGGCGGGCAGAACACCTTAAGCCGCCCCTCCGACCCCAGCCCTGGACACACCCCTGCCCTCACGCCTTATAAGGAACAGCTCATCCCCCCTCAGGGAGCGAGCCAGCAGGCGAACCCGTCCTTTGTTCTCCTTTCCTCATGGTGCAGCAGGGGCCCCAATAAAGCCTTGCCTCAATTTCTTGTCTGGCCTCTGGTCAATTTCTGTTGCTCAAGGAGGCCCAGAATCCTGGTCAGTCACAGCTTGACATGAGGAGAGAAGGGGTACAGGAGACAAAATCTAGAGCATCACGACTCCAGGACAGAAGAAAGAGTGAGCAGGTCAGCGGACAGCCCCCATGGTCACAGCCAGAGGGATTCCCATGCACACTATCCTTCCCCTGGTTGGATGCTCAGGACCCAGCAGGTCCCGGGACCACTGGCTCAAGGAGGCTTCCCTCTTTATAGCGGGACGCTGCTCGACGTACGTTCTTCTCGCAGGAGCAGTCCCTGTGCACGTCACACCCAGATCTCAGAGGGAGGGCTCGCGCCATGGGCGCTGCCGTCAAGAGGAAAGCACGTACCTGAGCGGGCGATGCCGCTGTCCCTGTCTTCGCTCTGCCCTCTGCTCGGCATGTCGACCGGAGTGCTGTGCACTGCAGGAAGCAAGGAGACCTGGTCACGGGGCTCGCAGAGGCGGGCTGCTCAGACCGCCTGCACTCGCTTTACGCCTGCTGGCGGTGACCGCACGAGCACACACAGGGAGGGACGGGAAAGCAGAATGCAGTTCAGAAAGGATGGGGGAAGGAGGGGGCAGAGGCCAGCGACCACCTGCCCGTGCCTGTCCCCCGACAGCACTACAGAGGCTCTTCCG